GGTGGGGGAGGTCTCTGGCAAGGAGAACCGGGGCTGAAGGTTGATCTGATGCGCTGCGTACCGAACCGCAAACGGCCACAGAAAATGGGGAGCGGCCGCATGGATCATGGTTATACGAGCGACATCCATGACCATGCCAATGCGGCGCTCAGCAATCCCATTTTTCTGTGGAGAGGCCGGTAGCGTGAAGGTCTAGCGGATGCCATGTGTACGACAGAAGGCTCCCAGAAGGCCAGAGGAAAACTCCCCGCCTCTGTCAGAGTGCAGACGTAGAACAGGAAAGTCTGAGCCGAAACTCTCTCTGAGCTGGAGACGAGCTGTGCGGATCGAGTCGATCAACACCTCAGTGACGTCACCCTTGCTGCGCAAGGGAAACACCGTGGTGTAACACGTGTAGTCGTCAACCACCAACAGGAAGTAACGCTTGTGACCCTGGCCACGGACGCGGGCGGGGCCCCACACGTCCATGTGAAGAGTCTGCAGTGGAGTCTCTGTCGAAGGAAACTCGGAGGAGTGAGGGGCAGCGCGCTGCCTCCCCTCGACGCAGGGAACGCAGGTAGGGGCAGGCCCCGGAGGGAGGGGAGGGAGGGACCAGGGGAGACCAGAGACAAGGTAACGGGAGGCCATGCCTCGGAGACGAGGGAGGGAGGGGTGACCAAGGCGGTGGTGCCAGAGGAGACTCCGGTGGGACACGAGACGACACGAGCAAGGAGTAGACTCAGGACCAGACCTGGACGCTGCAGCAAACACTTGACCCGACGCAGCTATCTGACCAGACTCAGCAACCGGAGGAGACTCAGTACTGAGTGTGTACAGGCTCGACCCCGGCTGACGGGTAAACGTGTCCAAGTGTTGGCCTGTCCGAGCACACGTGCAGTGGGTCACCCGCTTACTTGTAGGAGTGAACTGGTCAACCCCCCCATCCTGTAGATCAGCACCACTCATCAAGTTTGTAGAGAAGAAGGGGAGGTAGAGACCTGACACGGTGCCAGAGGGGGCACCCGGACACGGTAAGACAGTGGAGAAGTGGGCAAGGATTGGACCCCTAGAGGGGTCCGCGAGGAAGACCGCAAATGGCCGACTAAGCGGCGTGAGTGTGGTGCGGTCTTGAAAGAAGGAGCGGGAAGCACCCGAGTCAAGGGTGAAGGTGTGTAAGGCCTGAGCCGACGTAGTACCTGAGAGAGCAAACTCACCAGCACCTGTGGCAGCAGACTCACTAGCACCTAGAGCAGCAGCCTCACCAGCACCTAGAGCAGCAGTCTGAATGCCCGGGTCAGGCGGAACACACAGGTAACAGTCACCCTTATCATTAGTAGGCAATGCATACATGGCAGTGAGGATAGCATCATAGTCAAGAGTATAGATATCTATCCTTAGCCTAGGCAGCTCCACCCAGTCGGGGAGCTGAGCCGCGTCGCCAAACTTCGTACGCCAGGCGTCGCTCAGACGGGCAAAGCAGCGGGACTCTACGTGACCAAACGTCCCGCAAGTTTGACTAGTCCGAGCACCAGTGTGAATGATATACGGACAGCGAGCAGTACCCCGTGACCCGTCACGGTGAGCGTACTACTCACGAAGCTGCTGGGTTGAAACGACCTCGCCCGGACGACGCTGCAGCTGCACCTGGCCACTACAAGCAGCTGCCAAACTACTCACTCTAGGACAACTCCCACCACGGCCACCCCGACAACCCCAAGAAGCATACCACTCACGAAGCTGTTGGGGCATGAGGGACTCACGCGGACGTTGCTGGAGCTGCATCTGGCCACCGCCAGGAGCAGCAGGAGCAGTGGTCGCCGCACTAGCAGCAGTAGTTGCAATAGCAGTACTCGCAGCGCGGCCACCCCTACAACCCCAACTAGTGTACCACTCACAAAGCTGTTGGGGGGCGAGGGACTCACGCGGACAGCGCTGGAGCTGCATCTGGCCACGCCAGGAGCAAAAGTAGCACTAGAAAGAGCAGTAGCAGCAAGAGCAGCTCTAACAGCAGTGCGGGGAGGGCAATGCTCACCAGTGGCAAGAAGGGCAGGCGTATGACAGCGGCAATGGCCACGCCGCTACCACTGTAGGGCGAGGGCTCCACAGCAGTTGCAGGGGCGGCTGCTCCAGGGGCGGCTGCTGTAGTGGCGGCTGCTCCAGGGGCGGCTTTTGCAGGGGCAGCTGTTCCAGGGGCGGTTGTTGCAGGGGCGGCTGCTCCAGGGGCGGCTGCTCCAGGGGCGGCTGCTCCAAGGGCGGCTGCTACAGGGGTGGCTGCTCCAGGGGCGGCTGCTGCAACGGCGGCTGCTCCAGGGGCGGCTGCTGTAGGGGCGGTTGCTCCAGGGGCGGCTGCTGCAGGGGTGGCTGCTCCAGGGGCGGCTGCTGCAACGGCGGCTGCTCCAGGGGCGGCTGCTTCAGGGGCGGCTGCTCCAGGGGCGGCTGCTGCAGGGGTGGCTGCTCCAGGGGCGGCTGCTGTAGTGGCGGCTGCTCCAGGGGCGGCTGCTTCAGAGGCGGCTGCTCCAGTGGCGGCTGCTGCAGGGGCGGCTGCTCCAGGGGCGGCTGCTGCAGTGGCAGCTGCTCCAAGGGCGGCTGCTGTAGGGGCGGCTGCTCCAGGGGCGGCTACTGCAGTGGCGGCTGCTCCAGGGGGCGTGTTAGGGCATGGCGCCGCGGCAGGCAGGGGTGACGCCACGCGGGTCTCGCAGGGGCGTCGCGACGCGTAGGAGCTGCGCCTCGTGGGTCCCGCAGGGGCGTCGCGACGAGGCAGGGGCGACGCGCGGGTCCTGTTGAGGCGTCACGACGAGGCAGGGGCAACGGGGCGGGGCCACGACTGGCGACGGGGCGGGGCCGCGAAGGGGCCGCAAAGGTAGCCGCGAGGGGGGCGCGAAGGGGCCGTGAAGGGCCGCGAAGGGGCCGCGAAGGGGCCGTGAAGGGGCCGCAAAGGGGCCGTGAAGGGGCCGCGAAGGGGCCGGGAAGGGGCCGTGAAGGGGCCACGAAGGGGCCACAAAGGTGCCGCTAAGGGGCCGCGAAGGCGCCGCTAAGGGGTCGTGAAGGGGCCGCGAAGGGGCCGCGAAGGGGCCGCTAAGGGGCTGAGAAGGGGCTGCGAAGAGGCCGCGAAGGGAGGCCGCTAAGGGGCCTCGAAGGGGCCGCAAAGGGGGGGCCGCGACGGGCCTCAGGAGCAGGGCAGGCCACTAAGGGGCCGCGAAAGGGTAGGGCAGGTCAGAGCGTGAGGCGCGCTTCGGGCAGGTTAGGAAAAAAAAAAAAAAATGGTGGGCCCTTAGGAAGAAACGGTCCCACTAGGGAACCTGCTCTATACCCTGTGAGAATAACAGGGAAGTGAATGCACTGGGAAACAGGTGGGTACAAGTAGGAAAACCTAAAAGTGTTGTACCTTATATTGTTTACCCCACTACAGCCTACACAGACTATAGCATATAAGTTTGACACACCATGCATCCCATGTGCTGTACTGTGCGGTTTCGTAGAACGAACTCTAGGTGACGACCGGACCCGTGAGCCCTTCCTCTTACGACTGTGGCTCGTGGGCGCGTGGCGACGTTACAATGACTCGCCACTAGTCCATGGCATGGCCCGGTAGCAACGAAACAACGTACCGTAACTTCGCTGCGTCCGACTCGACGTAATTCGCGTCGAAGAAGACGTTCATCGTGAAGACCTACGATTGAACCGTCGGATCTCCACATTGGCTAGGGTCGAAACAGGGCGGGCGCTGCGGCTTGAGCGGCATCAGTGTGATGATGACATTGTTGCCAATCGGCAAGAGAAATGAGAAATGTGACCCCTCATACGAGCAAAAATGTTTTGATCTTGGCGGAAACCAATCAGATGTGCTCGATATGCGCGCCTGCTTTGTTTGGTACAGTACGAACTTCACAGTTTGGTTGCAATTTCGTTCCGCCCAATTTCAAGATGGCTCCTCCATTTTTTTTGTTTTCTTGATTTCAATTGATTTGACCCCTGCCTAAGAGGGTGAGGCTGTCTGCTGGGTGCGGCCTTTGTCCCATTTTGCCGTGGTTGTATGCGGCTTGGAATAACGACATGCATGATAATCATTTCATTGTTGTAGTGTCCATCTTTATGCTGGCACCTCCTAGATTAGCAAGAGAACAGCAAATTTCTCCCTCCAATATGATAGGCACATTGGTTTGAGATTTTGATGGCTTCATCATTGTTTGAACACATTTCGATGAAATGCTATTTTACTGGTGTTGGACTTCAAGAAAGAATGGCACCGTAAATATTCTGTTTTGAAAAAATCACTTTTGTATTCCATAGTATAGAAGTTGATGCGTATAATTTCTTTAGGATACCGATGGGCTATTTGTGAACTGATCATATGTAGGTCCGAAGGTATGTTGTTCTATACTATCTATAGTGAACATGGACATGATCATGTGCTGTACATCCTAAACATTGGTGTATCGATTCAGCCATTGAACTGCTCGCTTGATCGCGTTCATTGTTGGGGCGAGAAGGCTGTGGGCGGATGAGCCGCTGAGGTAGAGCAAGAACGGGAGAGGAGGAACGCAGTTCGTCGAAATCAATGACGAAACGGACGGCCGGATCCTTGTAATCGTCTGATCGCGTTTCTCCTAGGCTACAAGCCATTTCCTTCTCTTTGCCCTCGCCCTTCGCGGGCAGCCAACCAAGCTCGCTCCATGCTGTTGGTTCCAATGCGACTCGGGCCCCTCTCTCGTTTCCATCATCGACGACAGCCATGCTTGGAATCAAACCGATGTCACTGGGATCGCGTTCCACCAAGCCACAGTTCCCTCCAACTACGCTCGGGCAGCGTCATTGTATTCAGCACAGCACGGCGCCAATCCGTTGTGTGGCATTGAAAATTAGATGCAGGCACCAACTCTTTTGCGACATTGCACATACGTTTCCCGCTAGGCACGAACTCTTTTGTGACATAGCACATACGTTAACCGCTAGTGTCTAGTTCTACAGACATGACCGGTAGGCTGGCGGGAGAGCTACAGCAAGTTCCCGCATCATATGAGATGCAGGGAACAAGCATGGCATCGTTTTCGCAGACGCCCAGAATCTCGGGATCGGTCATTCCTACTCCGCCTACGCCTGGCACGGCACAACCGCGGATTAGCCACATCCGCGGGCGCAAACGGAAGCAAGGGGCGCTCACATGCGAGCAAAGTCAACAGCAGCAAGGAGCAGCCTGTGCGGGAGTCGGGCAAGACTGCGAGCGTCAACATGCCACGAACGCTTCCTTTTGCAATCGCAACGGCCAGCCAATCGCGGCATCGACGAGCCAACCGAATGCACAAACTTTCGCTGGATGGAGCGGCGCGGACGACGTCGGATGGTTTACGCCGAGTGGTGCGGCCCCGATGGGTCAGAGCACCATGGCAGGGGACCAGAAGCACGATACCACAGGGACATTCCAAAAGGCCGCGAATCCACCTCCACATACGCCACCGCCACGCGCTACCGGCCCTGCCGCCCCCGCTGAAGCTGCCGGAGCATTGGGCACAGCCTCGGCCGCGCAGCGCGCGTCTACCTTCACCGCTGCGGGTCCCTGCACTCCTCGTCGCTCCGTGTCGCTCAGGTCCGTGCAACCCTGCACTCCGCGCGACGCCATCAGCGACAGCGTCGCCTCGCCCGTCCACGTGCCGCCGTCGCCCCTCGCTACCCCCGCCCCCGTGACGCCCACCGTCGCCTCCCATTCCGCCTCCGTCGCAGCGCCAGAAGCTTTGGCGGAGAAGATCGGTGCTGCAATGGGTGGTGGTGTGGCGGAGAAAGTGGTTTTCCAGGCGACTCAGACGGCCGCGGCCGCGGGTGCTGACGTGGGGGCGCGAGGCAAGGGGAGGAAGCGAAACGGGAAGTCGAGGCGTGCGACGGAGAAGAGAATCCAAGAGGAGTGCGCGGATGACGAGAAAAACGGCGCCGCAGCTGAAGCAGCGAAGATAGCACGGTCATCGGGCTCCGCCCCGCTGCGGCAGCCTCGCTCCGGAAAGGACGGCGGAGGTGGCAGCGGAAAGGCGAGCAGCAGCGGAGGCGACAGAGCGGGCGGTGGCACTCGCAGCGATCGCGACGGCGCGAGCGAGCGCGAGTTGAAACGGCCGCGATTCCAGGCGTGGCAGATCGACTTCCTGGAGGAGAGCTTCCTTGCGGACTACACGCTGGAGCCCGACCGCAAGCGCGCGCTGGCGGCGGAGCTGGGCGTGCAGCCGCGGCAGGTGGCGGTGTGGTTCCAGAACCGGCGCGTGCGGTGGAAGTCGCGACAGAAGGAGGCGGACCTGGACTCGCTGAAAGGCGCGTACGACGAGCTGGAGGACGACTGCGAGTCGCTGCGCTCCGAGTACGAACTGCTCAAGGGCGACTACGAGGAGCTTCTCGCCGAGAATTCCGGACTCTACTCCAAGGTACTATGCGCGCCGGGTGTGCTGCAGGGTGGTGCGTCCATGTTCAGTACTTTGGCTTCGAATTTTCTCGGAGAAGAGAAGGACGCAGCGGGTAATCCAGTTACTAATCCTGCCGTTCCTTTCTCTGTCTCTAATGTTTTTCGTTTACAGATTCTGTTGCTCACGCGGCTGGTGGCGATGCGGGATCAGGGCGTGGAGCAGGCGCAGAGCGAGCAGCGAGACGGCCACTCTGGGGCCGTGGCAGGCACGGCGGAGAGGAAGGCGCGCGAGAGTCGCGCAGAGGGCGGCGCGGGCGTGGCGGGCAGCGAGTGCGAGCGGTCACCCATGCATAGCAGCGGCGGCAGCAAGGCCATGCAACAGGCGCTGAGTGCGGGGAGCGCAGGGAGGGTGGAGTGGGAGAAGCAAGCATGGAATGAAGATGACGGCAAGGACGAGCGGGAGACTGGACGGAGCGGCACCCGTGCTGCCACCAACACTGCAAGCACGGGCATACGGACCAGGGAGGGTGGGATGCGCAGAGGTACGACACTATCCCCTCTTGTGCTTCCTCCGAGCGCCATGGACCTGCCCCTGCCGAGCCCGCTATCTGCTCTTCCTGCGGCGTTCCATGCAGACGCAGCAACCACACAGTCTGACGCCGCAGGCTTTGAGCCGGTCAGTGGAGGGAAGGACATCACCGGCCATGGCATGCAGGCTGACAGCCCCCCCAGTGGCGGTGTTGCGGTGCTGTGCGCGGACTTTCTCCCAGCTACACAGCACTCTGGTGAGCAAGCTGCAGGCATGGCGGCATTGTCACGGCAAGGCACACTGCCCATGGGCATGGAGGGCACGTTCGACGCCTTCACATCGCTCCTCACCGCTCCCGATGAACTCGCCTGCGAGCCCTACTGGCCTCATGCTGCCAGTCCAGGCACTCATACTGCCCATCCTGATCCATCGCCTCCTTCCGCTCACGCTCAAGGTGTTGGGCCTGCTGGGGCTGCTGGGCCTGCTGGATCATTCACTCCTTTGGCACCAGCACCTGCTGGAGAGGGTGATATGGCGCAGGCGTTTTACCCAGCAGCCGGCAATTTACAGATTGAAGAGAGGATCGGGGCGCAGCAGTGGGAGGGAGCACCTGCGCAGGAGGCCCCATTGATGGACAATGGTGAATCACGGAAAGCGGGAGATGGAGTTGCATTGACAATCAGCGACCCAGCTCTCCATGCAGACCCCAACGTCCACCTAACTTCACCATCTCTTCCTTCACCTCTGTCAGCATCAACACCTTTAGCCTACTTGCCCGAGCCTGAGCCTTTTTCGCTGCCCGCTTTGCCAGCAGCTGCCACCTCGCAGGCGTTCCAAGCCACAATAGCCATGCCTTTCACCAATGGCGAACCTGGCAGCCCAAGCCGTGGCATGCTGGCAATGGCTGCCGCTTATGCTTCCCCCACTCGAGACATCCCAGCTTCAGAGGGCCATCACCACGACCTGCAGCTGCCCCACAGCATGCCATCTGGTGACGGTTCAGCTCGTAAAGGTACTGGTATAGCTGCCTTTTCTCCTTGCACGGGCACACAGGGTAGTGGGAGCATGGCGTACCTGCCGTTGGGGATGCACGATGATGTGCTTACACCCGTGGACATGCTTCCCCATACCCGTTACACAAGCAATTCCGAGGCGGAAGGCGCTGGGCCGTCTCAATGGCACCAATCTTTCAACAGTCAAGGCATACCACCAATAAACCCCGTGAACGCCCACGGTGGGCCATATTTACCTGCTGTTATGAGCAAGCAGCAACAGCAACAGGAGGAGGCGGGGACTGAAATCCACTGCAGAGATGCAGCCATGCAACCATTGGCTAAAGGCCAGATGTGGGAGGCAATCGGACGTGCATCAAACTGCACCCCTTCAGTTGAAACCGTCCACAAGAACAACGCTGGTATGATGGAGGGGGGTCATGAGCAGATAATCCCACCAGCAACTGTGCAGATTATAGGTAGAGAAGAAGGCAATGGCTTCAGGGAGGGGATGGGTGAAGAGATGATGTTGAACAATTGGTGGGATGGCATTAGCAGCTAGTGGAACAATGATAATTACTGTATTTTAGCTTACAATAGGATTCTTGCTTGTTGACAACATAGCTTTGTGTGTAATGCTACAGGTAACTTCCCATTTCTCTGTTTGCAATGATCTCAAATCGTATCACCATTGAGAAATTTTACAAAATGCATTAACAGACCATGCACCTGTGTTTGCCTTGCTCCTTATCACGTGTGATTCATTCAAATCAAAGAAGCTACATATCTGATTTATGAATAATGGACTGTCATAATCTTCTTTGACTGTAGGCACGGATGTCAGAACCTTGGCGGTAACCCTTCTAGAGAATTGCTCCCCCACCTTGAACTTGTACTTTCACGGAAACAGTTGGATTTCATCTGACGGACCCTGTCGCGGCTCCAGCAGGAGTGCGTCACCGTTGGTACTTGAACACTCACCAGACACAGATCATTAGGGGTCTTTGATTGTGGAATTCCCACCTGTGATTGCCTTACTCCATTGCCTTTTGTCAGCAAGGCGTGAATCTCCACTCATCGAGTCCTAAGTCTCGCCGCCACCATCGCCTGACCTCTTCGATCATCAAGTTTGTTTCTCAGCGTTTTCGGAATTCAACTCTAACAGATCGGGACGAGAAGGCAGGATGACGCAGGGGGAGAGCTCCGATGCTGCGTAAGCGATGCCAGATCTGCATCTTGGTATAGTTGTTGCTGAATTGCGATTGTTAATATACACGGAAACCTGGTACCTTATGCTCTAATCGGTAGGGCTTCTTTTGCTGTCGGTTCTTCCGATCCCTAGAACTCGGTTTTGTTTTCTGTTTTTTGCTGCGTTGACTCTTAGAAGCCTTTGCGCAGCAACCGGGTATGCGTAGGCAATTCTCTTTTTCCTGCGAGGCACTGGCCTGCTATATTTTCTCATCCGATCTTCGGTGTCAGCTCTGGTTCCTGCAGCTGTCGCGCTCTTTCCTTTTTTTCCCCACTCCACTTTCTCTCAAACTCCTCCCCTGTTCATCTATTTTCTCCAGCGGCAAGGGTGGCAAGCGGGATTTCTCGACGGCGATTTTGGATCGGAAGAAGGCGTTGAACCGGCTGATCGTGGACGAGGCGGTGAACGATGACAACTCCGTGGTGGCGCTCAACATGAAGACCATGGAGGAGCTTCAGCTCTTCCGTGGCGACACTGTGCTGCTCAAGGTAAGTCGCTGAGTTCCGAGGTTAGATTTGAGTTTGTTGAGTCAAGGAGATTCAACAATTTTGTCGTCAACCTCCCGAGAAGCTCTAGCGATGCTGCGTGGTTAGTTTATGAAGCCGGATTGGCGAGAGGAGGTGACGTGGTGTGGTGTGGTGTGCGTGCTGGCAGGGCAAGAAGCGCAAGGACACGGTGTGCATCGTGCTGGCGGACGACACGGTGGAGGAGACGCGCATCCGCATGAACAAGGTGGTGCGCGCCAACCTGCGCGTGCGCCTGGGCGACGTGGTGTCCGTGCACCAGTGCGCGGACGTCAAGTACGGCAAGCGCATCCACGTGCTGCCCATCGACGACTCCGTCGAGGGCGTCTCTGGCAACCTCTTCGACGCCTATCTCAAACGTCCGTAGCGAACCGTACTGTCTGCTTCCGCCCTTTTGCACGTGTCGTGCTGCTGTCCAGTACCTCAACGCCTGGTTGTGCTTGCAGCGTTTCAACCTGCTCTCGCTCCATCCCCGTATGCTGCCGTCCTTGTGTCCGTCCAGCGTATTTCCTCGAGGCGTACCGGCCGGTGCGCAAGGGCGATCTGTTTCTGGTGCGCGGCGGCATGCGCAGCGTGGAGTTCAAGGTGGTGGAGACGGACCCGGCGGAGTACTGCATAGTGGCGCCCGACACGGAGATCTTCTGCGAGGGCGAGCCCATCAAGCGCGAGGACGAGGAGCGCCTCGACGAGGTGGGGTACGACGACGTAGGCGGCGTGCGCAAGCAGATGGCGCAGATCCGCGAGCTCGTCGAGCTGCCGCTGCGTCACCCGCAGCTGTTTAAGTCCATCGGCGTCAAGCCGCCCAAGGGTATCCTGCTCTTCGGCCCGCCCGGGTCCGGTAAGACGCTTATAGCGCGCGCTGTGGCGAACGAGACGGGCGCGTTTTTCTTCCTCATCAACGGGCCGGAGATCATGTCGAAGCTGGCGGGGGAGAGCGAGAGCAACCTGCGGAAGGCGTTCGAGGAGGCAGAGAAAAACTCCCCTGCAATTATTTTCATCGACGAGATTGACTCGATTGCGCCCAAGAGAGAGAAGACCCAGGGAGAGGTGGAGCGACGCATAGTGTCGCAGCTGCTGACGCTCATGGACGGGCTTAAGTCGCGCGCGCACGTGATTGTGATGGGCGCCACCAACCGGCCCAACAGCATCGACCCCGCGCTCAGGCGGTTCGGGCGGTTTGATCGCGAGATTGACATTGGCGTGCCGGACGAGGTGGGGCGGCTGGAGGTGCTGCGCATCCACACCAAGAACATGAAGCTCGCTGAAGACGTACGTGCCAAGGGGGGAGGGGGGATTTCGAGTGCTTGGGGGAAGGGAAGGAATGTTCGTTCACTGGAGGAAAGAGTTCGGGCGTATGTTGGCTTTGAAGCACTCGCTGTGAAGTGAGGATGAACTGAATGCCGGGACAGTGCATGTGGAGACAGAAACTCCAGGCTTCAGTAGCATTTGAATGAACCTATCAATAGCAAGTACCTCCTTTCCCCACCCTGCCCACGCCGCTGCTCCCCCACTACCCCCGCCCTTCTTTCTTCCTGTGCCCTTGCAGGTGGACCTGGAGAAGATATCATCCAACACGCACGGGTTTGTGGGCGCGGATCTGGCGGCGCTGTGCACGGAGGCGGCGCTGCAGTGCATTCGCGAGAAGATGGACGTGATCGACCTGGAGGACGACAGCATCGACGCCGAGGTCCTCAACTCCATGGCCGTCTCCAACGACCACTTCGCCACCGCTCTTGGCATCTCCAACCCCTCCGCGCTCAGGGAAACGGTCAGTGCCGTGCGCAAATTTGAGCCTCTTGTCACATGTGCTGCAAGTGGGAACTTGCCCCCTCACGTCTGTGCCGGTTGCATATTCGTTCACCCTCCTTCCCCTCCCAACCCGCCACTGACTCAACCTAACCAACCCACCCTGAAATTTACTAAATTTGTGTGTGTGTGTGTGTGTGTGTGTGTGTGTGTGTGTGTGTGTGTGTGTGTGTGTGTGAGTGCAGGTGGTGGAGGTACCCAACGTCACATGGGGGGACATTGGTGGGCTGGACAATGTCAAGAGGGAGCTGCAGGAGGTGAGCCCTCCGCCTGTGTTCCGATCACCATGCGCTCTGTGCCCTATGCCTGCTTTCTCTCTCATTCTCCCACAGCGCCGCCATTATAACTTCACATCCGCTTCTGGTGCAATATTCTTTTGCCGTATCCCGGCTATTTTGCTCTCTGGCCCACCTTTCCGGTCCAGCCACTTTCCTCAATTTTATCCCTCACTTTCTTTCTTGTAACCAACCCTCCCCCCACCTTACCCCCCTCTCCTTTTTGTGCTGGCAGACGGTGCAATACCCGGTGGAGCACCCGGAGAAGTTTGAGAAGTTTGGCATGTCGCCCAGCAAGGGCGTGCTGTTCTACGGGCCGCCGGGGTGCGGCAAGACGCTGCTGGCCAAGGCGATAGCCAACGAGTGCCAGGCCAACTTCATCAGCGTGAAGGGCCCTGAGCTGCTCACCATGTGGTTCGGCGAGAGTGAGGCCAACGTGCGCGAGATCTTTGACAAGGCGCGCCAGTCCGCCCCCTGCGTGCTCTTCTTTGACGAGCTCGACTCCATCGCCACTCAGGTGAGGCGTGCGAGCCGTGGGGCAGTTGCACATTGGATTACGGCAGGCTCGGAAAAGTTCTTTTCTACTGGGTTGGCGGGAAGGGATTGATGGTGGTCATGGGGCTTGCTTCCAACAGCTGAAGTGTGGTTCCGTTCTCCCCTCGAACATGCTTCAGTCTTGCTCCCTCCCCCCCCCTTTTCCTCCGTCCTTTCTCCCCTTTTCTCGCCGCTCGCAGCGTGGCAGCAGTGTGGGCGATGCAGGAGGAGCAGCAGACCGAGTGTTGAACCAGCTGCTGACGGAGATGGACGGCATGAACGCGAAGAAGACGGTGTTCATCATTGGCGCCACCAACCGCCCCGACATCATCGACCCCGCGCTGCTGCGCCCGGGCCGCCTGGACCAGCTCATCTACATCCCGCTGCCCGATGAGGCCTCGCGCCTCAAGATCTTTGAGGCTGTGCTGCGCAAGTCCCCCCTGGCTAAGGAGGTCGAGCTCACTGCTCTCGCGCGCTACACCCATGGCTTCAGCGGTGCTGATATCACTGAGATTTGCCAGCGCGCTTGCAAATATGCCATTCGGGAAAACATCGAGAAGGTGGGACCAGGGGGGACGGGAAAACAGGTTGGGAGGGCGGGGAAGAGAGGAGAGGAGGGAGAAGGTGTTAATGTGAGGGGAGTGGTGGTGTTGTGTGGATGTGGGGACCTGGCAGCAGCTGGCCTTGTTGAGGATGCAGTCTTGAATGTGTGCTAGTGGCGTTTCAATCGATGCTTCTGTGCATGCCCATGTTGCGCGGGCGTGCTTCACTCTGAGTTAACTGCTCTGCTGCATATCCGTGCTCACTCTTGCACCTGTGCGAATGTGACTGTGCGTGTGCGTGTGCGTGCGTGTGTGTGTGTGTGTGTGTGTGTGTGTTTATGCATTTGTACCTGCTGTGTGCGCACACATGGCTGCATGGTTCACACTGCAGGACATAGAGAGGGAGAAGCGGCGTGCAGCCAACCCGGATTCGATGGAGGAGGATGAGGCTGATGAGGTGGCTGAGATCACGGCAGCGCACTTCGAGGAGGCCATGAAATTTGCTCGCCGCTCCGTCAGTGATGCTGACATCCGCAAGTACGTGCTACGCTCTATGCTCTATGTCTGTATGCACTCCTTGTTCTTGGGTGATGCCTTCTCATCACCTGCTTTGCCTGCTACTGAAGTTCCTGTGCTGTACAGGGCTCTACACGAGTGTTAACTGCTGCCCGTACCCTCTGTCTCTCTGCGTGTCTGAATGCTCGGTGTGAGCAGGTACCAGGCCTTTGCACAGACGCTGCAGCAGTCACGTGGCTTTGGATCGGACTTCCGCTTCCCCGACAGACCCGCTTCTGCTGTGCCTGCAGCAACTGGTGCCGCGGGCACTGCAGAGGATGACGACGATCTCTACAACTGATCCCACACTTGATGCCTGCTCTTTGCTCCGTGTGCCATTTTGGTCCCATCCTTGGTTCTCAAGCCTACATCTGGCACAGCTTGCACAGGGGTTGGGGATATGAATAGTTTTGTTCAACTAGGGTAGGTGTACACACCACTTGAGCACTGGGAACACAGGTGTATGACTGAAGGAAGTGACAGTAAATGCTAGTATACTCCACCAATCTGAGCATCCCCGCTAGAGAATCACTAGAGAAAGTTGCATGCCTACTCCCTTTGAGACAGCAAATTGTTCTAGCAAAGGCCACTAGGGAAGCTGGGTAGCAATTACGGTACGAGCTGATGGTCAATAATCTCTCAGTAGTATTGATGCACTTATCGAAGTCATTACAGCGAGACAGAGTTTTGATTGTTGACCAGAAAGTACGACTAGGACGACGACGTCAACATTACCAGCGCACCCACGTCGGCCAACCTGCACTTGCCCTCCACAACGGCCTCTGCTCACAGCACGACAACCAGCACGATCGCCATACGAAGCTAGCCAAGGCAAGGCGTTAGGACGCGGCACATGTTTTCATTTTACAAGGATCGCGGCCTCACATCGATCCTCGCATATCGATCGGCACACCGATGTGCCCACACTGCAAATTTGCAGTGGGATAGACACATCGAGCTATAGGTGCCAGGTTCGAAATTGCAGGCTCGGGCAGGTTGGAGCTGCCATTACACTTAAACGCGCAGCCAATCAGGGCAGAGCGTGGATGGTCGTCCAGCAATTCCATTCGCAGCGACTCAAGAATTTCTGGCCTGCGACCGTGGGCGACGCCGACCGATCGAGGCTGTCACCTGTGGCGCGATATGCTCTCCCGCCAAACCTAACGCATGCACCACGGCACATCGATTGTGCGAGCTGCAGGTGCGACCAATTTAGGTACCCGTTTACTGTACCTTCTCGACGTTCAGCGAAAACCGGATACCAGCCATTGGCGAATTCGCCAATACACTGTACAAGCGGCACATCGATCCCCTCCCACGATCGATCCTGGCAAAATGAATACAGGTTCCCGGCCCTAGAACTTTGTGGGCGACGGGGAGGAAGTGAGCGGAGAAAATGGAAGTGGAGGTGGGGGCGGCACCTGCAGTTTCGGTTATAGGTAGAGGAGGTGGCAGGGAGATAAGGGTTGCTAAGCTAGCACGCGCGCGCGGTGCTCGTCGGCTGGTACCGCCCTGATTCCGTTTCGCCGTAGATACTTTTCGCGACTGCCCGAAGGTGAGCTTACGAAGGGTTGCACTGGCGCGCGCTTCTTGCTTTGGAACAATGCGCGCAAACGATTCAAGTACCATGCTTTTCGAGGGACGCCTTGTTAGAGGATTGGCCACTACTTTTATGGCGCTCAGGGGAATGAATGCGCGCAAGATTGAGAGCATGCGCACATCTCTTGCGCCTGCGCGGGCATCTCACCTTCCCCGCACCAATGCCCCCCGTGACTGCCTCCCCACGCCCCACTGTCAATCTCCCCACACCCGCAGCCGCAACTCCGCGCAGCGGGTCCGACTATACAGCGGGGCGGCATGGCGGCGAGCGGGCAGCACTCGCGGTGGGCGGCGGTGGGCGCGTGGGCGGGCAATGTGGGGAGCTCGGTGGCGCTGGTGATGGTGAACAAGGTCATCATGTCCAGATACGCCTTCCACTTCGGTCAGCCTCGCATCCCCATCCCCTCCTCGCCTGTATCCGCGCCCCCACCTCCACTTCCATTTTCTCCGCTCACTTCCTCCCCGTCGCCCACAAAGTTCTCCCCACATCCCCCTGATCCCCCTCTCGCTCTCTTGCAATTCCTCGTAATCTTCGTATGTTTCCTTTTCCAGCCTTTTCTTCCTTCCCTCGCCCCATCTCCCCTTTTGCGCCAGCCCCTCGCCCTCCACCATGCACCCCTGCACCACCACTGCACTTTCACTAATCAACCTCTTCGCACTCTGCTGCATTGCCGTTCCAACACTTCTCCCCCACTTCCATACCTGACCCCCACCCCACCACACACCCCTCCCCCCGACCCTCCCCGCGCCCCTCTCCGCACCCCTCCCCGCGCCCCCACCCGGCCCCCTCCCCATCCTCTGTGCGCGCTGGTGGGCTGTGCACGGCAGCAACGACGCTGACGGCGCTGCACTTCGCCATGACGGGCCTCGTGGGCTGGCTGGGAGGCAGCACTCGCAAGGGCGCGTCCAGTGTGCCGCTGGGGGAGCTGCTGGCGTTCAGCGTTGTAGCGAATGCGTCCATAGTGGGGATGAACTTCAGCCTCATGCTCAACACCGTTGGGTTCTACCAAGTGCGCTCCTCCCTCTCCCTTGCACCCACACCGCCACGTGCCTTTCTCCTTCCCGCTTTCTTGCCCTCTTCCCTCCCTCTTCCCACCCGTTTCCCCACCCTGCTGTGCACCCCTCATTGGCTTCATTCACCTGCGACTCCCACTACAACGCACCCAGTTTACTCACACCGCAAATCCTCCCCCACCTCATCCTTTCCCTGCATCACCCAAAACCCTACCTCTCATCCTGTCTCCCCGGCAATGCACGCCCTGCCCCACCACACGGTGCAGATCGCGAAGCTGAGTGTGCTGCCCACGGTGTGTGTGCTGGAGTGGGCGCTGCACGGGCGGCACTACTCGCGCTCGGTGCTGGGCGCCATCATGCTTGTGCTGGCGGGCGTGGCGGTCTGCACCGTCACTGACGTCTCCATCCGCCCCACTGGCCTCGCTGTCGCCGCCCTCGCCGTAGCGGCAACAGCCCTCCAACAAGTGGTGAGGGCATATCGTTGCAGCTGCTATTTGCTGTAACCTGGATAATGGATCAACTTATACCTGAAGGCAACTGCTCAATTGTTACATCCTTCTCCTGCTGCCCCTCCACATCACGACTGTCCCTCCCGCGCGTCCCTTCTCCCACCCATGCCTGTGTTGAGCGTGGCAGGGCATCGCCATGCTGCACTCACGGCATGCCATCAACTCCTTGAGCCTGCTCTCCCTCACCGCGCCCACCCAAGCGGCGTCACTACTACTACTAGGCCCCTCCACAGACTCGCTGCTGCTAGGAGGCCAGTCCCTGTGGCACTCTCACTTCGGCACAGCTGCCTGGGTGAGCCACTGCCAGGCCATGCTCAGTGCCAGGAGCATGTGTCTTTTAAGTTGTCTCAAATGCCAGGACTTGCTTAGTGTGGTGTGGGGAGCATGTGTTGCTGGTGGATGGGAACTGCCCTCACTTCCTTCTTTCATTTGCCGCTTGTTCCTTTTATCACAGCTGCACTCCTGGCCGTTCTTGCCTCATTTTGTGGAAATCTGTTTTTTCATGGTTGTGAGATGACTTTTGAGTCGACTCAAAAGTCACCTCTCTTTTGAGTCAATTAAAAAATCTGTGTTTCCATGGTTGTGAGATCATACCCCGTGTGTGTGCTGTGCCATGCGGTGCAGGCGTTCGTGCTGCTGTCATGTGTGCTCGCCATCTTCTGCAACCTCACCCAGTACCTCTGCATCAACATACTCTCTCCCACCTCCTTCCAGGCATGTCCCCTCTAACCCTCTCTTTTGAGCATATAATCCGTTATCCTCTGGTCAATGCATCCTTGGCCATTGATACCTGAAAGATGGAGCCTGAATTGATCGTTTCACTTTACCCAGACGCTGGAGGCTCTAGGTTGTTCGCTTCTTGTCCTGCATCCAACCTCAAGCTAACCATACTGAACCCGGTTAGCCAACTCCAAGGCAGCCCCACTTTGCCATGGCATTACCATACTAAGGGAACAAGCTTGCCCATGCGCCCAGCAGGTGCTAGGCAACATGAAGACGGTGCTGGTGCTGGTGCTGGGGTGGATGCTCTTTGACTCCTCCCTCTCGCCCGCTAACATCGTGGGCATGGCCATGGCTGTCTCAGGCATGGCCCTCTACTCCTACGCTGCCCATGGCGGGGGGAGTAAAGGTTCGACAAGAGTAGCCACTGCAGGTGCTGACTCATCCACTAAGAAGCACGCATGACTTGCGTTTGTGGCGCATGACACTGTATACACTTACTACAGTGCATTGGTTCGTTGGTACGGTGAAACACAGCACCCTGCAGCTCCAATGTGCACTGCACCTGCAGCCAATATTTATCACTACCATCAAATTTGCCATGGTTTTACACATGTTGAGGAACTTCTTATGTAGAGGGCCTCCTGCCTCAGTGGAGCACTAGGGACAGGATGTTACATCAGGACCCAGGTGTCTGGAGCAGACATGTTACACAAGTGTCATTGATATTGAGTCGGGACAGGATGGGTTGATAAGGCAGATTACAATGTTAATGAAATAATAGCTACCACAACCTTTTCTTGGCACCTTTGGAATTGTTACCCAGTAGCATAAGGGGGTCCACCAACCAATGCAGATGCACGTGGGCAAATGAAGGGTTTTGGGGTTTCGGGTTTAGGGTTTAGGGTTGGGGTTTAGGGTTTCGGGTTTAGTGTTGGGGTTTAAGGTTTAGGGTTTAGGGTTTAGGGTTTAGGGGTAATGGGGCAGGGTGATGGAAACCAGGAGAATGGGGCAGGGTGATGGAAACCAAAAGAATGGGGCAGGGTGATAGAAGGCTGGAGAATGGGGCGGGATGATGGACAGCGGGAGAATGGGGTAGAGTGATGGAAAGCGGGAGAATGGGGCGGGGTGATGGAAAGCGGGAGAATGAGGTGGGGCGATGGAAAGCAGGAGAATGGGGCAGGGTGATGGAAAGCGGGAGAATGGGGCCGGGTTCTGGAAAGCGGGAGAATGGAGCGAAGTGATGGAAAGCGGGAGAATGGGGCGGGGTGATGGAAAGCGGGAGAATGGGGTAGAGTGATGGAAAGCGGGAGAATGGGGCGGGGTGATGGAAAGCGGGAGAATGGGGCGGGGTGATGGAAAGCAGGAGAATGGGGCAGGGTGATAGAAAGCTAGAGAATGGGGCGGGGTGATGGAAAGCGGGAGAATGGGGTAGAAGGATGGAAAGCGGGAGAACGGGGCGGGGTGATGGAAAGCGGGAGAATGGGGCGGGGTGATGGAAAGCAGGAGAATGGGGCAGGGTGATGGAAAGCGGGAGAATGGGGCGGGGTCATGGAAAGCGGGAGAATGGGGCGAAGTGATGGAAAGCGGGAGAATGGGGCGGGGTGATGGAAAGCGGGAGAATGGAGCGGGGTGATGGAAAGCGGGAGAATGGGGCGGGGTGATGGAAAGCGGGAGAATGGGGCGGGGTGATGGAAAGCCTGAGAATGGGGCGCGGTGACGGAAATCGGGAGAACGGGGCAGGGTGATGGAATGCGGGAGAATGGGGAGGGGTGATGGAAGGCGGTAGCATGGGGCGAGGTGATGGAAAGCGGGAGAACGCAACGGGGTGATGGAGGCGGGAGAATGGGGCGGGGTGATAGAGGCGGGAGAATGGGGCGGGGTGATGGAAAGCAGGAGAATTGGACGGGGTGATGGAAAGCGTGAGAATGGGGCGGGGTAATGGAAAGCGGGAGAATGGGGCGGGGTGATGGAAAGCGGGAGAATGGGGCGGGGTGATGGAAAGCGGGAGAATGGGGCGGGGTGATGGAAAGCGGGAAAATGGGGCGGGGTGATGGAAAGCGGGAGAATGGGGCGGGGTGATGGAAAGCGGGAGAATGGGGCGGGGTGATGGAAAGCGGGAGAATGGGGCGGGGTGATGGAAAGCGCAAGAATGGGGCAGGGTGATGGAAGGAGGGAGAATGGGGTGGGGTGATGGAAGGAGGGAGAATGGGGCAGGGTGATGGAAACCAGGAGAATGGGGTGGAATGATAGAAAGCTGGAGAATGGGGCGGGGTGATTGAAAGCTGGAGAATGGGGCGGGGGGATGGAAAGTGGGAGAATGGGGCGGGGTGATGGAAAGCGGGAAAATGGGGCGGGGTGATGGAAAGCGGGAGAATTGGGCGGGGTGATGGAAAGCGGGACAATGGGGCGGGGTGATGGAAGGAGGGAGAATGGGGTGGGGAGATGGAAGGAGAGATAATGGGGCAGGGTGATGGAAACCAGAAGAATGGGGTGGGGTGATAGAAAGCTGGAGAATGGGGCGGGGTGATGGAAAGCGGGAGAATGGGGCGGGGTGATGGAAAGCGGGAGAATGGGGTGGGGTGATGGAAAGCGGGAGAATGGGGCGGGCTGATGGAAAGCTGGAGATTGGGGCGGGGTGATGGAAAACTAGAGAAAGGGGCGGGGTGATGGAAGTCGGGAGAATGGGGCGGGGTGATGGAAAGTGGGAGGATGGGGCGGGGTGATGGAAAGCAGGAGAATGGGGCAGGGTGATAGAAGGCGGGAGAATGGGGCTGGGTGATGGAAAGCGGGAGAATGGGGCGGGGTGATGGAAAGCGGGAGAATGGGGCGGAGTGATCGAAAGCGGGAGAATGTGGCGGGTGATGGAAAGCGGGAGAATGGGGCGGGGTGATGGAGACACGCTATTTTTAACACGCTAGGCCCTTGTTCTTGCAATTTTGCGCACGCTAGGCCCTTGTTCTTGCTATTCTGCACACATTAGACCCTTGTTCTTGCAATTTTGCACATGCTAGGCCCTTGTTCTTGCTATTTTGCACACGCTAGACCCTTGTTCTTGCAATTTTGCACATGCTATGCCCTTCTTCTTGCTACTTTGCACACGCTAGGCCCTTGTTCTTGCTATTTTGCACACACTAGACCCTTGTTCTTGCAATTTTGAACACGCTAGGCCATTGTTTTTGCAATTTTGCACACGCTAGGCCCTTTTTCTTGCAATTTTGCACACGCTAGGCCCTTGTTTTTGCAATTTTGCACACGCTAGGCCCTTGTTCTTGCAATTTTGCGCACGCTAGGCCCTTGTTCTTGCTATTTTGCACACGTTAGACCCTTGTTCTTGCAATTTCGCACACGCTAGGCCCTTGTTCTTGCTATTTTGCACACGCTAGACCCTTGTTCTTACAATTTTGCACAGGCTATGCCCTTGTTCTTGCTACTTTGCACACGCTAGACCCTTGTTCTTGCAATTTTGCACACGCTAGGCCCTTGTTCTTGCAATTTTGCACACGCTAGGCCCTTGTTCGTGCTATTTTGCACACACTAGACCCTTTTTCGTACAATTTTGCACACGCTAGGCCCTTCTTTTTGCAATTTTGCACACGCTAGGCCCTTTTTCTTGCAATTTTGCACACGCTAGGCCCTTGTTCTTGCAATTTTGCACACGCTAGGCCCTTGTTCTTGCAATTTTGCACACGCTATTTTGCACACGCTAGACCCTTGTTCTTGCAATTTTGCACACGCTAGGCCCTTGTTCTTGCAATTTTGCACACGCTAGGCCCTTGTTCTTGCAATTTTGCACACGCTAAACCCTAGTTCTTGCAATTTTGCACACGCTATGTCCTTGTTCTTGCTATTTTGCACACGCTAGACCCTTGTTCTTGCAATTTTGCACACGCTAGGCCCTTGTTTTTGCAATTTTGCACACGCTAGGCCTTTGTTCTTGCAATTTTGCACACGCTAGGCCCTTGTTCTTGCTATTTTGCACACGCTATGCTATTGTTCTTGCTATTTTGAACAAGCTAGACCCTTGTTCTTGCAATTTTGCACACGCTATGCCCTTGTTCTTGCTATTTTGCACAGGGTAGACTCTTGTTCTTGCAAGTTTGCACATGCTAGGCCTTGTTCTTGCAATTTTGCACACGCTAGGCCCTTGTTCTTGCAATTTTGCACACGCTAGGCCCTTGTTCTTGCTATTTGCTCACGCTAGACCCTTGTTCTTGCTATTTTGCACACGCTATGCCCTTGTTCTTGCTATTTTGCACATGCTAGACCCTTGTTCTTGCAATTTTACAGATGCTAGGCCCTTGTTCTTGCAATTTTGCACACGCTAGGCCCTTGTTCTTGCTATTTTGCCCACGCTAGACCCTTGTTCTTGCAATTCTGCACACGCTAGGCCCTTGTTCTTGCTATTTTGCACACACTAGACCCTTGTTCTTGCAATTTTGCAGACTCTAGGCTCTTGTTCTTGCTATTTTGCACACGCTAGATCCTTGTTCTTGCAATTTTGCACACGCTAGGCCCTTGTTCTTGCTATTTTGCACACGCTAGACCCTTGTTCTTGCAATTTTGCACACGCTAGGACCTTGTTCTTGCAATTTTGCACACGCTATGCCCTTGTTCTTGTTATTTTGCACACGCTAGACCCTTGTTCTTGCAATTTTGCACATTGTAGACCCTTGTTCTTGCAATTTTGCACACACTAGGCCCTTGTTCTTGCAATTTTGCACACGTTAGGCCCTTGGTCTCCAATTTTGCACACGCTAGGCCCTTGTTCTTGCTATTTTGCACACGCAAGACCCTTGTTCTTGCAATTTTGGACACGCTAGGCCCTTGTTCTTGCTATTTCGCACACGCTAGGCCCTTGCTCTTGCAATTTTGCACACGCTAGCCCCTTGTTCTTGCAATTTTGCACACGCTATGCCCTTGTTCTTGCAATTTTGGACACGCTAGGCCCTTGTTCTTGCAATTTTGCACACGCTAGGCCCTTGCTCTTGCAATTTTGCACACGCTAGGCCCTTGTTGTTGCAATTTTGCACACGCTAGGCCCTTGTTCTTGCTATTTTGCAAACGCTTAGCCCTTGTTCTTGCTATTTTGCACACGCTAGGCCCTTGTTCTTGCTATTTTGCACACGCTACGCCCTTGTTCTTGCTATTTTGCACATGCTAGACCCTTGTTCTTTCAATTTTGCACACGCTAGGCCCTTGTTCTTGCTATTTTGTACACGCTAGGCCCTTGCTCTTGCAATTTTGCACACGCTAGCCTCTTGTTCTTGCAATTTTGCACACGCTATTTTGCACACGCTAGACCCTTGTTCTTGCAATTTTGCAGACGCTAGGCCCTTGTTCTTGCAATTTTGCACACGCTAGGCCCTTGTTCTTGCAATTTTGCACATGCTAGGCCCTTGTTCTTGCAAGTTTGCACACGCTAGACCCTTGTTCTTGCAATTTGTCCCACCCTAGACCCTTGTTCTTGCAATTTTTCACACGCTAGGCCCTTGTTCTTGCAATTTTGCACACTCCAGGCCCTTATTCTTGCAATTTTGCACACACTAGGCTCTTGTTCTTGCAATTTTGAACAGGCTAGGCCCTTGTTCTTGCAATTTTGCACACGCTATTCCCTTGTTCTTGCAATTTTGCACACGCTAGGCCCTTCGTCTTGCAATTTTGCACACGCTAGGCCCTTGTTCTTGCGATTTTGCACACGCTAGACCCTTTTTCTTTCAATTTTGCACACGCTAGGCCATTGTTCTTAAAATTTTGCTCACACTAGGCCCTTGTTCTTGCCATTTTGCACCCACTAGGCCCTTGTTCTTGCAATTTTGCACACGCTAGGCCCTTGCTCTTGCAATTTTGCACACGCTAGGCCCTTGTTCTTGCAATTTTGCACACGCTAGGCCCTTGTTCTTGCAATTTTGCACTCGCTAGGCCCTTGTTGTTGCAATTTTGCACACGCTAGGCCATTGTTCTTGCAATTTTGAACATGCTAGGCCCTTTTTCTTGCGATTTTGCACACGCTAGACCCTTGTTCTTTCAATTTAGCACACGCTAGGCCCTTGTTCTTACAATTTTGCTCACACTAGGCCCTTGTTCTTGCCATTTTGCACACGCTAGGCCCTTGTTTTTGCAATTTCGCACACGCTAGGCCCTTGTTCTTGCAATTTTGCACACGCTAGGCCCTTGTTCTTGCAATTTTGCATAGGCTAGGCCCTTGTTCTTGCAATTTTGCACATGCTAGGCCCTTGTTCTTGCAATTTTGCACACCCTAGGCCCTTGTTCTTGCAATTTTGCACACGCTAGCCCATTGTTCTTGCAATTTTGCACATGCTAGGCCCTTGTTCTTGCAATTTTGCACAAACTAGGCCCTCGTTCTTGCAATTTTGCACACGCTAGGCCCTTGTTCTTGAAATTTTGCGCACGCTATTTTGCACACGCTAGGCCCTTGTTCTTGCAATTTTGCACACGCTATACCCTTGTTCTTGCTATTTTCACACGCTAGGCCCTTGTTCTTGCAATTTTGCACATGCTAGACCTTTGTTCTTGCAATTTTGCACACGCTAGGCCCTTCCTCTTGCTATTTTGCGAACGCTAGGCCCTTTTTCTTGATTTTTTCCACACGCTAGGCCTTTGCTCTTGCTATTTTACACTCGCTAGGCCCTTGTTCTTGCAATTTTGCACATTCTAGGCCCTTGTTCATTTTATTTTGCACATGCTAGGCCCTTGTTCTTTTTTTTTTTGCACACGCTATGCCCTTGTTCTTTTTATTTTGCAAACGCTAGGCCCTTGTTCTTTTTATTTTGCACACGCTAGGCCCTTGTTCTTTTTATTTTGCACACGCTAGGCCCTTGCTCTTGCTATTTTGCACACGCTAGGCCCTTGTTCTTGCAATTTTGGACATGCTAGACCCTTGTTCTTTTAATTTTGCACACGCTAGGCCTTTGTTCTTGCTATTTCGCGAATGCTAGGCCCTTGTTCTTGATTTTTTGCACACGCTAGGCCCTTGCTCTTGCTATTTTGCATTCGCTAGGCCCTTGTTCTTGCAATTTTGCACACGCTAGGTTCTTGTTCTTGCAATTTTGCACACGCTAGGCCCTTGTTCTTGCAATTTTGCACATGCTAGACCCTTGTTCTGTTTATTTTGCACACGCTAGGCCCTTGCTCTTGCTATTTTGCGAACGCTAGGCCCTTATTCTTGATTTTTTGCACACGCTAGGCCCTTGCTCTTGCTATTTTGCACTCGCTAGGCCCTTTTTCTTGCAATTTTGCACACGCTAGGCCCTTGTTCTTGCAATTTTGCACAAGCTAGGCCCTTGTTCTTTTTATTTTGCACACGCTAGGCCCTTGTTCTTTTTATTTTGCATACGCTAGGCCCTTGTTCTTGCTATTTTGCACGCGGTATGCCTTTGTTCTTTTTATTTTGCACACGCTAGGCCCTTGTTCTTGCAATTTTGCACATGCTAGGCCCTTGTTCTTGTAATTTTGCACAAGCTAGGCCCTTGTTCTTGCAATTTTGCACATGCTAGGCCCCTGTTCTTGCAATTTTGCACAAACTAGGCCCTTGTTCTTGCAATTTTGCACACGCTAGGCCCTTGTTCTTGAAATTTTGCGCACGCTATTTTGCACACGCTAGGCCCTTGTTCTTGCAATTTTGCACACGCTATACCCTTGTTCTTGCTATTTTTACCTGCTAGGCCCTTGTTCTTGCAATTTTGCACATGCTAGACCTTTGTTCTTGCAATTTTGCACACGCTAGGCCCTTGCTCTTGCTATTTTGCGAACGCTAGACCCTTGTTCTTGATTTTTTCCACACGCTAGGCCCTTGCTCTTGCTATTTTACAATCGCTAGGCCCTTGTTCTTGCAATTTTGCACATGCTAGGCCCCTGTTCATTTTATTTTGCACATGCTAGGCCCTTGTTCTTTTTATTTTGCACACGCTATGCACTTGTTCTTTTTATTTTGCAAACCCTAGGCCCTTGTTCTTTTTATTTTGCACACGCTAGGCCCTTGTTCTTTT